ATCTCAAGAGACACAAAACAATTTGTATTCCAATCTGAATGTATTTCTTATTAAATATTTTCACTCTTCAACAAAATCAGGCTATTAGTTTTTTCAAGGATTGTAGTTATTTTCTATTTTGTTTGTTCATCATTGTAATATGAATAAAAACAAGGGTAAGCGGATTTCACAACCCACGATGCTCTTTTTATTTTGTTTCTTTCTTGTTCACGCTCGTTATGTGGCGGTCGATGTTCTCGTCCAAGCCGACAGCTACTCTTTTTTGCATGACTTCAAAACTTGTTTGGTTTGGTGTTCGTTGGACATCGACTTAATGCCCCTTTCCGCTGCAGGTTGTGATGACGCGGTGCTCCTGGTGCAGGCGATGCCCCTCCTCGCTCAGCAGCGGGCGACCTGCAGGGGGGATCCTGGGGTGGCTTCCGCGTCGAGCTGAAGCAGGATGGGCAGCCGGCGGTGCCGCGTGCTCCTCTGCTGCCACGGCCCGCGTGGTCGCGGGGCCAGCAGGCCCCACTGCTGCTACTGCTGGTGCGGCCCGGACGGCTCCGTGCCGCGATGAAGTAAAGTGCTCCGGCTGAGCCCTCTGGAAGAGCACCGTCCCCTGCTCGTCGTAATACGCCGCGGCGGAAGACGTTGGGGTCGCACGCGCATGCTGGTGGTCCTGGTGGCGGGGCGGAACTCACGTGACGACGGCGGCGGTGTCTGACGCGGTGCTCTTGTTGCAGGCGGCGAGCGCAGAACAACCAGCCAGACGTCCCTCGGGGAAGATCATGGAGAGGTGTCCGTCGACGATGGCCCCGAGTTGGACGAGCTTAAACTAGAGGACGAGCAGCTTGGGCTGGTGGTGACGGCGTGCTTCTCGCTGCAGGACGAGCAGTGCCCCACGGAAGACGCGGCGAGAGGCGGCCCTGGTGAGGGCCTGCTGCAGGACGAGCAGTGGCCAGCGGTAGGCGGTGCGACGGGTGGCCCTGGGGACGGCGAGGTGCAGCCCGAGCAGCGCGACAAAGAAGTGGCGCCTCATCCCGACGACGCAACCAGGCAGGGTGGCTCTATTGTCCGGTGTGGAACCCGCGACGCTCAGCCGGTGCAGAACAAACAGCAGGACGACCAGAATGCCTCGCGGGTGCTGCGGAAGAAGCAGCTCGGCCGGAAGTACACCGGCATCGGGAGCGGAAGTGAAAGCAATCCCAGTGGCGCTCTGCAGGCGAACTCGCGCGGGCGCACTAGTACGGCCTTCAAGTGCGACGTCTGTGAGAAGAGTTTTGCACGAGCGAGTTATCTGAAGACGCACAAAATGTACCACACTGGTGAAAAGCTATTTTGCTGTGACCTCTGTGCAATGTGTTTTACTGAGAAGGGCACTCTTGTCAAGCACATGAGGACACACACTGGTGAAAGGCCCTTCAAGTGTGATGTATGTAAAATGCGTTTTACCGAGAAAGGCAGTCTTGTCAGGCACATGAGATTACATACTGGCGAAAAGCCGTATCAGTGTGGTGGGTGCGATAAACGTTTTAGTGATAAGTCCAACCTTAGAAATCACAAAAGAAATTGTACATAGATCTTAATTATCTGTTCCGATTATGTTTGCTATGCTTTTTTGCGTTGTACTTTGTCAATTTAATAAAATATTTTTGACCCCGCTCCTCGGTCAGCAGCGGAGTGTCTCTCGCTGAGGATCATGTGTCCGTCGACGAGGGCCCCGAGCCAGCGCGGATTAAGGTCCGACTGACAGGGGGTCGATGTGCCGCCGGTTGCCTACATTCAGGCGTTTGGTGGCGCAAATTGCCTACCTTTCAGGCGGCTCTCAAGAGACCACAGCCCCTTCCCCCTTGAATCCGCGCCTGGCTCAGAGCTCAACGAGCTGATACAAGAGGACGAGCAGCTACTCTTGATTGCACTTCCACCCTTGTTCGGCCAGGTCTTTCGTGGACCACGACTTATGCTCCCTTTACGTTGCAGTTTGCGGGGCAGCCGTGACGCGGTGCTCCTGCTGCAGGCTGTGCACCTCCACGCTCAGCAGCGGGTGACCTCCAGGGAGGATTCTGGGGCGACCACCGCGCCGAGCCGAAGCAGACGGTCAGCGTTCTCCTCCGTTGCTGAAGTTACGGCCCGGACGTCTCCGTGTCGCGGCCGAGCCCGTCTGCACGGCACCGCTCTGTGCTCGTCACAGTGTCGTCACACTGCGCCGTTCAGAGCTCGTCACACTGCACCGCTTGGAACTAAAGGACAGTTAACATTACCGTTTTTTGACTCGAATTTTGTTTTTCGGTTATAGGCCTAGTTGTTTTGTTGTCGCAGTCCCTGACGTTGCACATGCATGCTGGTTATCCTGGTGGTGGGGTGGACCTCTGGTGACGACGACGGCGGTGTCTGACACTGTGCTCTTGTTGCAGGCGGCGAGCGCAGCTCCTCTAGTGGGACGTCCGCTGGGGAGGATCCTGAAGATATCACCGTCGACGAGGGCCCCGAGCTGGACGAGCTCAAGCAAGAGGACGAGCAGCTGGGGCTGGTGGTGACGGCGTGCTTCTCGCTGCAGGACGAGCACTGCCCCGCGGAGGACGCGGCGAGGGGCGGCCCTGGGGACGGCGAGGTGCAGCCCGAGCAGCGCGACGAGAAAGTGGCGCCTCCTCCCAGCGACGCAACCAGGCAGCCTGGCTCTACCGTCCGGTGTGGAACCCGCGACGCTCAGCCGGTGCAGAACAAACAGCAGGACGACCAGAAGGCCCCGCGGGTGCTGCGGAAGAAGCAGCTCGGCCGGAAGTGCAGCGGGAGCGGAAGTAAAAGCAATTCCAGTAGTGGCGCTCTGCAGGCGAACTCGCGCGGATGCACCGAAGGGGAGTTCAAATGCAAAGTCTGTGAGAAGAGTTTTGCACGTGCAGATCATTTAAAGAGGCATAGAATGTTCCACACTGGTGAAAAACCATTCAGGTGTGATCTTTGTCCAATGCGTTTTACTCAGAAACCCCATCTTGTTGCTCACGTTAGGACACACACTGGTGAAAAGCCATACAAGTGTGATGTGTGTAAAATGCGTTTCACTCAGAGAGGCACCCTTGGCGCTCACATGAGGACACACACTGGTGAAAAGCCATTCAAGTGTGACGTATGTAATATGAGTTTTACTAAAAAAGGCACTCTTGTCAAGCACACGAGGACTCACACTGGTGAAAGGCCATACAAGTGTGACGAATGTAAAAGGTGCTTTACGTTGAATGTTCATCTTGCGACGCACATGAGATTACATACTGGCGAAAAGCCGTATAAGTGTAGTGGGTGTGATAAATGTTTTAGTGATAAATCCAACCTCAATAGTCACGAAAGAACTTGTAAACATAGATCTTAACTTAAGGTTACCAGTTTGTTCGCGGTTTTTCTTTGAGTTTGTCTAATAAATACAATGTTCTCGCACCTGCCGACAGCTACTCTATTGCACTCCTACCCCTGTTCGGTCAAGTTGTTCATGGACTTTGATTTATGCCCCTTTCCGCTGCAGGTTGTGATGACGAGGTGCTCCTGCTGCAGGCGGTGCCCCTCCTCGCTCAGCAGCGTGAGACCTCCGGGGAGAACCCTAAGGTAGCCACCGCGACGAGGTGAAGCAGGACGGTCAGCCGGCGGTGCCGCGTGCTCCTCTTCTGCCACGGTCCCGCGGGGTCGGCAGGACCCATTGCTAGTGCGGGCTGGACGTAGGGTGCGGCTTAAAATACGGGTCCCGATTTTCCATCTTGTATCACGGGTTTTTCCGAGTTTTTCCTTTCCTTTTGAGGTCTAGAACCCAGAAACAAAAATTCCGCGGCTGTGGCACAAGCCTTTCCCGTGCCGCATCTTACATCTAAATTTACATGTAATTCTTATGGGGAAAAGGCCGTAAAATCGAAATCTGCATCATGCGGGGTGGCCCTGTGGACGGCGAGGTGCAGCCCGAGCAGCGCGACGAGGAAGTTGCGCCTCCTCGCGGCGACGCAACCAGGCAGGGTGGCTCTACCGTCCGGTGTGGAACCCGCGACGCTCACCCGGTGCAGAACAAACAGCAGGACGACCAGAAGGCCTCGCGGGTGCTGGGGAAGAAGCAGCTCGGCCGGAAGTACACCGGCAGCGGGAGCGGAAGTAAAAGCAATGTCAGTGGCTCCCTCCAGGCGAAATCGCGCGGGTGCACCGGAAGAGCTTTCAAATGCGAAGTCTGCGAGACGAGTTTTGCATGGGCGAGTCCCCGACGCAAAAAGATTTGTTTGCTTTTGGTATGCTTTCGGTACGCTATCGGTTCGCGGAGGGTCGCGCTCAGTGCGCCG